CCTGGCACTGGCAGACACTGAACAGATGTTTACTGCATGAAACAGATAAATGGTAGGCAGAATTGCTAAATATGGGGATTATTTGCCCATAAAAGCATGAAGAATCCCCTTTCTGTAGCATTTGGTAAATGAGTTAACTCTCTAAAACTTCAGTTTCCTCATCTATAAGATGGAGATAATAATGACCTTGTGGTAACTGCTCAAAAAGTGCTAGTTGTTTACTATAATAATAATGATAATTTTTATTCCATATATTTTTATAATATGTTATTATTATTATTCTCTAGAGGTTTTTAATCACAAGAGTCTCTTCATCCTGGAATTTTTTTTCCTTTTTGGGTGTGAACATGAAGAAATGAGATAAACTAGGTGACCAGTCAAGAGGCTTCTTGACTTAGGATTCAGTGGATTGGGTGCCCTTACCATCAGCAAGGGTGGCAGAGATGGGAACGTTAAACTATGCTCTGGAAAATAATAAGGACAAATAATCATTGAAAATAATCTTTTGTTTCAAGGGGGTGGGGAGGAGTTGTTCTCTGCAGGGAAGGACCTTTGTCAGTTTTGCTTTGTTAAAAACATGTCTTGATTTTGCAATTTTAAATACACAGAAATAAACCAAATTGAATAAGCAGCTTAAATATAAACAGAATTTAAATGTTAGTTTCCAAATGGCTGTCTAAGAAAACAAGTCCAAAACCTATAAATTACATCTTTAACCACTGAATCTACATAATTGAAATTCCATAATTTACTAATTATGGAATTAATATACATTAAAAACTCCATGATAGAGAGCTGATGTCTGAGTTTCGCTTATGACACTTACTACAGTGCTGCTTGACAGATGAAGAATCAAGTCCTTGGCTGCATGATAGACTGATAGTTCCCCTCCTAAGTGTGTCACTGGAAATTAGAGCTCACTGTCTAAGCTATTTACACACATATGCAAAGCACGACCATATTCAGAAATAGTACTTTCTTATAGTTGCGGCTGTCCAGCCATTTCAGACCTCTGTTAAAAATTAAACCTTATGGTTGAGCTGCTTTTTTTTTCTGACGTCAAAGATATTGTCATGAGGCTTTTTTGTTGGTGTTGTTGTTAACAGGCAATCTTTGTTATGTGTTATTCACCACTGTCTTTGCCCTTCCTGGTGGTGTTTGCTGGACTTGGTGCATTACTCTTATGTTTTTCAGACCACTTTTCTCCACTGCATCCAAATTTATTTTGGTTCCAACTGTGGCCGTCATAGTCAAAATTAGTATGTATTCAGCATTCATAAGTTACATATTATTAGGAATAATCTTAGACATGGAAGTAATTCCATTTAGTGCCAACAAAACCAAATGAGAATTTCTGAAGCTTTTCTACATAAAGATATATGCAGGTCAGATCCAGGAGCTGGCTTCCTTCCACAAAGATAAGATCAAAAGACATGGGCATCAACACGGACCTCTAGGTCTGTGCTTTTTAAAACTTAGTATGCGTAAGAATCACCTACTTAAAACACAGTCTCCTGGGTCTTACCCTCAGAGATTCTGACTCAGTAGGGCTAAAGTGGGGCTGAATAATTTGCATTTCAACGTATTTCCATGTGACACTGATGCTGCAGGTCCAGGTCCACATTTTCAGAACCACTGCCCCAGTGGTCATAAAACTAAAACAAGCATCTAGAAGCTGCAAGTCTTCCAGCCTGCCGTTCTTGCCAGTCACCAGAGGGCCACAGATGAAGACTGCCATCAGTGGAAACAGGTTCTCCAGGAGCAGAGCCTGTGAGCCTTCTATTATCTGAGTAATCCTGCTCATCTCTAGGAATACATGACTTTAAAACCTTAGATACCGAAGCTGAACCGTCACCTTCTTGTTACTCAGAACTCTGGCAAATCCCCACAGCTCATGAACCCCTGAACAGAGAAGCTCCAGTGGCTCACAGCCACCATTTATTCAGATCAAAGGAGTCTGTTCAAGCAGTGGTGACCCTTTAGCGCTGACTGTGTGAGAGGAGTCCTCAATATGAATGCCCAATATTTATGTAACTGCTCCTCTAGTAACAGACGTAAGTCCTCCCCATCACACACTTCTTTTTCACTGTTTTAAAAACTGCTAGAATACTCTTGCTTGCTTATATGGGTATTCCTGTGGGATAAACTATCAGAAAAAGAAATCCTGAACTGGATCGAAGGCTACTACATTCTTTATGTTATATAGTACCCTTACATTTTACATTCCAATTTCAGATCTATGAACATCTTCCAAAAGTAGACCTCTGAAAGAAGTCAAGACTACACTAATAATTCTACCAGGATCTTAGTCTAATATTTTAAATTCCTTATTTTATGGGGTATAAGAGCTAAATAAAATAAGCAAAATATGTTTTTTTGTGGGTTTTTTTAGTATAGTTACTATGACCTGGTCAGTGAACACTGTTTACTAAACACCACCTTCTGCTAATACATGGAAGAAAAGAAGACATTTTTAAAAGAGAAGAAGAAAATCTGGTGTCTGACCATATGCCAAAGTCTATTAAAACTGTATTAGTTGAGAAGTTATGTGCTCCAGCCCCATTGGCTTTTTCCCAGTTCCTGAAACACTGTGCAGCCTCCCTCTAAGGCTTTTGAACATCCTCTTTCACCCATTTCAATGCTCCCACTCCCAGCCCCCTTCTGACCTTGGCATAAGTATCATTTCCTCAAAGAAGCCTCCGATGTCTCCAGTCTAGGTCAGGCTACTTGCTACGTAATCTCACAGAGACATGCTCTTTTCTTTCAGAGAACTTTACATATCATTATATACTCATTACAGTTACTGGAAAATTAACAACTCTCTTCCCCACTAGCTTGTAAATTCCAAAAGATCAGGGAGTGTGTTTGTTTTTATTATCGTGCATTCAGAGCATCTAGCTAAGTGCCTGGCTTATAGCTGAAGCTTAATAAATACAGAGAGAATACAAAAGAGTAAGAATGAATGGACATGAATATATCACTGCTAAAAGACTTGGGCAAACATAAATATCTCTTCTTACTACAGATCTACAGTAGGGTATTTGAGCATTCAGTCTGATGAAAAGTGTACTAACAGTGTTAATCGAAATTCTGAAAGTGAAAAATTCACTGTTGTATCGACTATCCCAAATGGCAGATATTTGTCCCAACAGTTTTCTTCAATCTTTGTCCAAATGCTTATTTTTATAAAATATAATTACTCATGACATTAAAAGACTAGCATTAGAGACAAAATTTTATGTGACAAGTTTCTTCCTGCAGAAGTAGAGTTAGCATTTGTAGGACAACAAACATACAAATAAATATAACTTTTAAGGCTATTCAGTAGGAAACTGAATTGTAGGTGCATGATTTGAACGTACGTGTGTGCACTCTTGCTGTGGCACTTGGCAATGCGTTACATACCTGTTTTTATACGTGAGACGCACAGTTCTTGTACCTTCCCATTTCCCAGGCTGCTGTTCTTTGGAAGCCTGTTCCCACTTAGAAATAATGTCACAAATCTAGAAGGGAAGTGGAAAACGGAGACTCAATATTTTTCACATTGGTATTTGTTTTTTTAAGACAAGCATGTCCGTAGATTAAAAATTTTCAATGCATGTGATCAAACTAAATGGACTGAAGCTTTCTGTTTTAAGCCTCTGCAGCTTTGAGTTTAGGATTTAATTATAAATCACTCTTTGGTCCACTTATTAATGGACACACATTAACTTTGGACTATGGCCATGAATTTTTTACTTGAAAAGGAATCTTAATGAAGGACTGCATGAGACTGGAAACAAG